CGCTGGGCCCGCGGGGGGCCGCGCGGAGAGGACGTCGCGCACCAGCGGCCACCTGTCTGCGCCCTCCGCACCGCTCGGCCGGCGCGCGGAGGCCACCTGCTCGCCACGCCCGGGTGCTTTGCGCAACATCCAAGGGCGTTCTCCATTCTCCATGGCCGATCGCTGAGGTCGAGGAATTGGAGGAGGCTCGAGCATTCTTACTGTAGTTTCGGCTTTGGGGAAACCGAGATAGGGCTACAGGGCTCTTGCTACCAGGGTCGCCAGCGTTGCCCTTCAAGGTGCCCGTCTTGTATCCGCCTCTGATATATCCAGTATCTTAGTAACGTTGTATCAGAAAGAAAGTCCAAGTTTCAACAGGCCGCGCTCCCAGGGGCGTTGAGAATTCTCTAGGGAGATGTTTGCGAAGCTCACATGTCCTCTAGACTTTATTTGATTTTAACATTTATAAACACTGTGGCAGGCGCTCTTCTAAGCACTTGACAAGTGTCATCTCTTCTAGAACCCTGTATCACACTTACGCAGTGGGATTCAGTGGTGTGTTGGGGGAATGTAGAGGAGTGGGGGAGTAGGGGGAAAGAAGGAGGTGGAATATAGCATTTGGTGTTTTCAAGCTTTTTTCTGTTGCTGTGCACGTTTTCCCACACCCGAGGGACTCGAACAGAATAGTTACGCTTCTGTTTACCTGTGTTTTTCTGTGGCCTGACACGCATCACAATTGAGGCTTCTAGGATTGCTGCAACAGTTGGTACTACTTACTTGGCCTTAGTCTTACTCCTTTAAGATGTGTTCCAGAAAGTATCTCATGGAGGAAACCTTACCTGGTTCTCCACTTTTCCATCCCAGCAAGGCCAGTGGCCTCTTCCTGTGCCCCTTTTGCTGACCTCTATCACTGCATTGTAATAACATTTGATTGTCTGTTTCACCCCTTCCCACCCAGCTTCTGAGAACAGCATCTATCCTAGTGCCTGGCATACTCCTATGTTAAATAAGTAGACAAATGTCTGAAAAGTAATTTTTAAAACTGTAATCAGGGCCGGTTAGCTCAGTTCGTTATAATTTTTAAAACTGTAATCAGGGCCGGTTAGCTCAGTTCGTTAGAGTGCAGTGTTATAACACCAAGGTGAAGGGTTCAGATCCCTATACTGTCCAGCTGCCAAAAAAACCCCACCTGCAATTATATTTGATTAGGTAATACCTTCATGGTTTTTAAAAACCAAAAGGTACCCAAACAGTGAAACATCTTCCATCCACATTTACTCCCCCAGGTACAAATGGAGGAAAACTAGTGTTACTAATTTCTTTTGTACTTTCTGGAGAAATTCTATCAGATGCAAGTGAATGTTTACATATATTCCTGTCCCCCTCTGTCCCGCAAATACTAGGTAGGGTACTATGTACTTTTCTGTAAGCTGCTTTTTTCAACCAAAACCGAAATGTTCTTCCCAACATTTAATGGAGTTGGTTTCTATCTGCTGCAGAGCTTCATTTGGACTTTCAGATTGGCTTTGCCAGTTTGATCCCAAGGTCACTTAAGTGAAGTGTCAGCTGCCTGTTTGGCTATGCCACTAGAAAAGCATCCATTTAGCACATGTTCTTTTAATGTTAGTTTTCTCTTCTGTAAAAATTCTACAGATGACAGCCCATTTTCCTAATTTGCAAGGTGCAGAAGTAGCACAGCTTTGTCACACTGGGTTTGGGTCTGGAGCAAGAGTAGTGAAGTGTACCTCCTACCCCCTCCCACCAGGATTTGGCTGCCTGCCCATGGCTTCTTCACTCTGATGTACTTGACTGTTTTCTTTGCCCACTCCAGCCCAGGGAAATGGAGAAGCACTTGGCCAGTGCCACTGAAGCTGAGCAATTGAGAAATGTGCTGATGGTTTGGTCTGGCTGCCTGGCTCCATTAATTATGGGATCAGACAGGAACAGATGTTGGCTTCTCTGCCACTGCCTTGTGGGCTGAGCCACTCCAGTCCTACAGAGAGGATGCTGACCTCCCCAGAGAGGTTCAGGAACTCAGGAACTGAAAACAACCGGAGAGGCCTCAAAGGCTGATCACTGGGTGATCAGTTCTGGTTAGTAGACTTTCGAGAGTGTGCCCCGTGTAGATACTGCAGTCTTATCCGGGATACTGACACAGCTGGACACGTCCCTGCCCTTAAGCAACTACCTTCAGGTCTGAGATAGGTAAGGGCTTGGAAGATAAGATCAAAAGTAATATAAAGTGGGGGCTAGTGGGTTAGCTCACTTGTTTAGAGAGAGTTGCTGATAACACCAAGGTCAAGGGTTTGTATCCCCATACCATCAGCTGCCAAAAAAAGAAAAGTAATACAAAGTGTAATAGAGGATTGTCTGACACAAGATAAGAACAGTAGTTCTTAAAATGTAGTCCAAAGACCACCTCCCTCAGAACTACCACTGAAGCTAGACTTGCTGACTCATTCATATTCCCTGAGTGTGGGATAGATTTTTCACTAAGATCTTTAGCCTTTTGCCAGTTTAAAAACAGATCACCAAGAGATGGACCTACCTTCCAAATGTTGTTTTCACCTCAGGAATGTAAAATTGCTTAAGCAATATTTACATTTGGGACTTTGAAGTAGTTCAGGGCCCTTATGTAAATAAAGGTGTTGTCACCTGTAAGCTCACAGCTTAAAGGTAGCTATGACCCTTACGCTGAGTTACCAGAATACTGAATCTAGCTGGCTTGCCAGAGAGCTTCAGCCACAAAAGATGTGAGTGGGAAAGTAAATGGGTTGTATAACATGCCCTTGTCTCGTCCTTTGGGAACCTCCTTTCTGACAGGTCAAAGAGACCAGAAAAGGGGCCCTCGTGCATCCAGTTGAGCCCTGCTGTGCTGCCCACTGCTGGGGTTGCAGAGAGCGACTTCCTAACCCGCATGACTTTTCATGGCCCTGTGATTTGTGACTTGGTAAAACAAAAGATTTCAGGTTCCTCTATAGATGAAACAGTTTCTCTACCAACACTTTGGGAACATCACCAAGACAGTACAAGATAAAGTTCTAAAATTTCAAGGCTGTTTTTACTCTGTGGTAGGGACCATATGTTCAGAAACATCCCCAACCTTCTCTGGAGGCAGAGTGGTATGGTGGTGTCCGGAGGGGCTTGGGCATCTGACTCCCTGAATTTCTGTCCTGATTCCCTACTTGGCAGTTCCAAGGTCTTGGGCAGACTACTTCTCTCTAAGAATCGTTGCTTATAATATTGGAGCCTGCTGTCTAGGATTATGTTTAGGATTAAACGAGATGATCCAGGGAGAGTGCATGGTAACTAGCACTCAGTAAATGGCAGCTGTAGTTATCATTATTAGTTTCATCATCCTGGACCAGAGCTGTCATTAAGTCACAAAATGGACTGGGCTGGAGCTTGGCCAATGAGTAGAGGCAGAAGATGGGAGAGAAGACCAAAAAAAAAAACCCCACCAAAATGAGAGTGACTGATACACAGCTGGACGAGTTTTCTTTGGAGATGCCTTATTTCTTGCCCTTGTTTTTGTTTTTGTTTTTGTTGTTAGGGACCTTGTTATCAGCACCACACTCTTGCCCTTGTTTTCACATTTTCTCTGGGAATAAAGGTCAGGGAGAGCTTTGGGCCACTTTGCACTGATGACCTAAGCTGGCATGTCACTGTCTTTTTGTTGTTGCTGTCTGTGTGACCAGCTCAACGCAGGGCTCTGGCCCTTTGTGCACCTTTGGCACCTTTTGTCTGTGCTGCTCAGTTTCCGTTGTGATTTTTCTTACACCAAGAGCTCAGAAACAGTTTGAGCGACTGTAATTTAGCTCCTCTATGGTCAGAAATAATCCCTTCCCTGTGGACAGGTGGCACCGACAGACCTGTGCTTTGGAAGCTGGCGGGAGGGTTTAATGATAGGATGTCTTAGAGCTGAACTGGGAAAAGATTCAGAGTTCTCTTGTGTGCTAGGGTGAGAAAGCTTACACAATTAAAAAAAAAAGTAATATTTAATCACCTGTTTCCATCACCTCTCGACTTGATCAGCATAAAATCATGAGTACTATTCTAGGAATGAGTCAGGAATTCTCAGTTTTCATATCTTAACATTTCATTTCTTAACCCTCACCTCTTTTATTCTTCCCTTCCACTTCCCCAACTAAGAGGAATAATAAAAATAACAGCTACCGCTCATTGATCATTTTCTTTTCTTTTTCTCTTTTCTTTTTTGGCAGCTGGCTGGTGTGGCAATCCGAACCCTTGACCTTGGTGTTATAACACCGCACTGTAAGCAGCCGAGCTAACAGGCCAGGCCTCTTTGATCATTTTCTGTGTTTCAGGTACTTGTGTTACTTCACTTAAACCTTATAACAACCAGCATCAAGGGTTTAGATCCTCCTACTGGCCAGCAGGAAAACAAAAAACAAAAACCTTATAACAAGCCTCTGTGGTACTATTTTTTTTTTTTTTGTCTTTTTCATGACCGGGAAGGGGATCGCAACCCTTGGTGTGGTGTCGCCCGCACCGCGCTCAGCCAGTGAGCGCACCGGCCATTCCTATATAGGATCCGAACCTGCAGCGGGAGCGTCGCTGCACTCCCAGTGCTGCACTCTCCCAAGTGCGCCACGGGGTCGGCCCCTGTGGTACTATTTTTATACCTATTTTAGATGATATAGTTGAAACTTAGAGAAAATTTGCTCAAGGTCAACAGTCAGTAAGGTTGGAGTTGAAACTCAGAACCTTCTAACTGCAAAGACTATGTTTCTATAAATTCTTACCATTTTCAGTGAGAAGCATACTTTTACTTGAGGACAAATATTATTGTCATAAAAATGTTGAGTATGTACCCTCCCAATGACAGTCTAATCTAACTAATATTCCACTTATGAGAAATAAAATTGAAATGAGGCCTTAAAAGTCATCATGTTCAGTTTCCCTCCAAAGCAGGTACCTCTTCTGCACCTGCAGACATGGCAGATGATCATAGTTTACTATTTTTAAGGCAAATGATCTAAAATTAATCTAGCAGATTAATTGTTAGAAAAAAATCTTATCTCTGAGCTAAAAATTTGTCACCTACAACTTTTACCTATTAATCTCAGAGCAACATCTAGATGAGCCCGCTCTTTTCTTTTTTTTTTTTTTTTTTAAAGATGACGGGTAAGGGGATCTCAACCCTTGGCTTGGTGTTGTCAGCACCGCGCTCAGCCAGTGAGCTAACCGGCCATCCCTATATGGGATCCGAACCTGCAGCCTTGGTGTTATCAGCACCGCACTCTACCGAGTGAGCCACGGGCCGAGCCCGCTCTTTTCTAAGACAGGTCCCTTTGCATACAAAAGTCACATGTCCACTAAGTCTTCTCTGTGACAGGCCGAGTGGTGTCCGTAAGTCTCTCAACAGTTGTAAGTGGGCATTGCATTGGTTTCTGGGGTCCTCACTATCCAGGTCACCCTTCTCCTCTGTCTCCTCTCTTCCCCCACGCCCATGCTTGGTGATGTCAAGAACCAAGCTAAGTGTACTAAAAGTCATCTGGGCTCCCTTAAGGTTATACTGGTGGCACTTTGCTGTCATTCTGCTTTGCAGCTCAGTCCCTTCCACAGTTGGGAGCAGGGAACTGAATCAATTATGTATTGCTGTCTAATAACCTACTCTGAAAATTAATGGCTTCAAACAGCAGTCATTTATTAGCTCATGATTCTGGGGCTCAACAATTTAGGCTGACTAACCCGGGCAGGTCTTCTACTGGTCTAGCCTGGGCTCACCCATATGGCTGTGGTCAGTTGGTGGGGACTCTTGGTCCTGGATGGCCTTCTTCACCTGTCTGGCAGTTGGCAGGTAGCAGGTGACAGGAGTGACTGGGCCACATGTCTCCCATCCTTCAGCAGGCCAGCTTGGACTTCCCTACCTGGTAGCTGAGTTCCAGCAAGAGCAAGAGAAGTCAAACCTTAATGAGTTTAATTAGCACTTTTCAAGCTTTTGTGTGAATTAGGCCAGATACTTTTCCAGTCTGTGAATTCAGGAGATTCATTTTCTAATTCTTAATCTCCTAATCAGGAGATTCATTACTCCGAGATTAACAGGTAAAGCTTTAAACTCTTTTTGACTTTCAACTAACTGACATAACAGTTTACATCAAGAACCAGGACTATGCACATATGTCTGGAAACAAATGTTTCACAGTAGCAAATGTTACTGTGGGTGAAGAACTCTATCTTCTTTTCTCCTCTGTTTTATTTACTTTAGTATCTGCATAATCCTCATTTTGAGAAACACTGTCCTAGATAGCAAAACAGTTTCTCATTCTCATCACTACAGCCAGAGTGCCTCTCTGGGTGCATGTGTATGCCTAAGAAGATTGCATCCTCATTATTTGCATGGTCTACCCGGTTTTTCCGACATTGACAAAGGGAAGTGGTTTGCGTGGGTTATAGGCTACAAAGGACCAACGACTAGAATTTGTGTTTCTCCAGCCCTGGAGAAGGACAACTCTGACCTATGTCCCTAACACTGGTTTTCTGGACAGAAATATCCCCAGGATGAAATGAGTAATTCATGTAGCTACCCCAGCTTGATGGAAATATCTTCAAACATCTAAACTTCTTTTATCTAAGATTAGATTGAAACTTTATAACTTGGATTTCTTGGATGGATCCACCCAGTTATAGGAACTGCCTTACATAGACTGGACTCCTTGGTTCTCACCCTTATGGATTGTCTGTTGAGATTCTGCATGTGCAAATACTTTGAAAACTGTAAAATGTTATATAAATGTTAGAAATCGTTATGGATAAGTTTTCATTATCATATAACTAGGTGACCACACATTCACATTTGCCTGGGTCAGTGGTTTATACTTGTCCCAGTCTAACTGTTAATAGCATATCCTTTTATTCCCCAAAAGATCTTGTTTTAAACAATAAATATTATGGCAACCTGCTTATAATGAACTCTTGTGACATTGGGTAATGGGATTCTGATCCTCACAACGAAGACCAGGAATGATGGCAAATAGATTTCATCTTAAGTGCTGACTAGTTGATAGGTAGTGGCTGCATAGAGTTCTGTGTTAAGAAGGATTCTGAGGAAGGGAGTAGCTTTGGCAGAAAACAGTGCTAGGGTCCATGATGGCAAGCTGGGGGTAGGTATTGGGATGGGGACTGGCAGCATCTATGCTACATTAGCTTGGACTAGTTTACAACTACCAAATTTAATACTACTAATATTTAATTTGCTGCTACTTGGACTATAATTACTTCTACCAAAGTAGAGCCCATCTGTGAGGTCCTGCCTGACAGGTCCTGCCAGTTCCCACTTTGGAAATAGTTTCCAGTGATTCTCACAGGGCAGGAGTGTATAGTCTTTAAATTATTGTGTCAATAATTTAAAGAGAGAGCAGGTGCCAAGTGCTGTTAGAATTTGTACTATATGGTTCTTTTCTACTATTAATAGATGGGCCTACAGGATGTGTTTATCCGAAAAGCTTGGGCTAGGATGTAGAATATGCTTGTTTGATGTACTGGGGACAGGTTGATTTTCTGCCATCCTTGCTCAACAGTGATGGTCTTTGAAGGCAATATGTAAGGTTTAGACATTCTCTGGGACCCTGTGGGTTGCTTTCCTGAGTTGGGGTAGGGAAGGGTCTTCTGCTACCTATGCCCTTGATTCTGATATGAATTCATCACTGACCATTCCCCCATTTACTCTGGTGAACATTTTTTCCATGGTGTGTGGGGGTTGATAGCATGGCTGACCATGTTATGGACAGACATTATAGAACAGGCTAATAGAGGTGTGGCTCACCCAAAACTGCTCCTACTTGGCTGCTCTGAAAAAAGATGGAAAGAAGTATTGGCTAAAGTGAGGTTTAGGGAGGGCTTGCCAGTTAGCTCCGTTGGTTAGAGCGTGATGCTGATAACACCAAGGTCCAGGATTCCATCACTATCTGTACCAGCCAGCCACCAAAAAAAAAAAAAAAAAAAAGCTTAGGGAGTATCTATGGATTTGTTATCTCCACTAGTTTCTATTTTCCAGTTGGTTAACAGGCCTTGGGACCTGCTGAAACTTGTCTGCTTGGATTTGGGGGTCTATTAAAATATCTAAGAAGATGGGAATGATTTATAATCAGAATCAAAGCAAATTTAAATAATACACGTAAAATTTGGAAAATATAGAAAAATATGAATAATACAATAACATACGCTTGTAATCTTACCAACAAGAAAGTGATGTATTCATTCAACAATATTTATTGAGTATCTACTATATCAACACTTCTTTAATGTGCACGTGAATCTCTTGGGGACCGTGTTACAGGACATATTCTGATTCAGCAGTTCTTGGGGGAGGGCCTAAGGTTCAGCATTTCCAATAAGCTCCCAGGGATGCTTTGGTTGCTGGTACATGAACTCGTACTGGTACTATACTAGTTCTTGTGTGTTTTCTTGCAATTGTGTAGGTTTATTTTCTAGCTGTGGTAAAATACATATAACAATTCCTCCTTCCACTCTCCCCTCGGTCCCTGGCAACCACCCTTTTACTTTTCTGTATTTATGAATTGGACTACTCTAAGCATTTCATGTTAAGTGGAATCATATGTTATCTGCCCTTGTATGTTTGGCTTACTCACTTAACATAATGTCTTCAAGATTCATCCATGTTGTAGCATGTGTCAAAATTTCCTTTTTAAGGCTGAATAATATTCTCTTGCTTTGCGTTGCTTCTCCCCCCACGGATTTGTCACCCCACTTCCTCTGGGTGACGGAGATGAAAGGATTACTCAAAGCCCATCTTTACTGAGCAGTGAGAGGCCCCAAAGTGGTGAATCTCCTGGAACCCTCAAGAGAGAGGCATTCCTTCCTTGGGAAATTAATGCCAAATTGGGGTTTTCTTCCTGCATTTATTTTTCAGACCAGGAAGTTACAGGAAGAGAACAAAGGTGGGGTTATAGTTTAACAGTATAGGCTGGTAACTTTCAGTGAAACAAGCCAGATGACATTCCAGTAAGGCAATTAAGTGGTCCTATCAACAAGTTTGATCTTAGCAAACATTCCTTCTTAACAGCAATTTCTCAGTATCTTTACATATCAATCAGTAACTAGTATGTCTTTGAGCCAGCAACCTGCTGCGCCACCATCCTTATCATGCAACAGAGACTTAAGCCCTGAGGGAAATTTCCTGTCCTTGCAAGGTCGATATTTGAAACTGCAAGGCTTTGGAAAACCAGGCCCTGTGAAGTACATATGCTTTTTAGTATATTCCACAATATTCATTGTATGTACATTTCTTTTTTTTTTTTTTTTTTAAAGATGACCGGTAAGGGGATCTTAGCCCTTGACTTGGTGTTGTCAGCACCACGCTCTCCCAAGTGAGCCAACTGGCCATCCATATATAGGTATCTGAATCTGTGGCCTTGGTGTTATCAGCACCACACTCTCCTAAGTGAGCCCCAG